TGCTGGGCTCCGGTGATCCTTCCGCCTCAGCCTTCCAAGTAGCTGGAACTACAGGCGCGCGCTACCACGCCCGGCTCATTTTTTGATTTATGGTAGAGATGAAGTCTCGCCAAGTTGCCCAGGCGGATCTCGAACCCGCAGGCTCAGGCAATCCACTCACCTCGGCCTCCCAAAGATGCGGGATTACAGGCTGAGCCACCGAGCCCGGCTGGGTTTTAATTTTTAAGCAGGGTTGGACCATATTTGCATTTTAGAAAACCCATTGTGCTGCAGCGTGGGGGGCAGACAGGAGGGGGCACGTGTGGGAACAGAGGAAGTGTGAGAAGGCCCTTGGCACTGGTGCAGGGGAGGGACCACGGGCAGGACTGTGTAGTCATGCCCTTGAAGGGCCACAGAAAAGTGCCCCTCGCACTTGGTGCATGGACGTGGAGGGTCAGAAAGCAAGATGTGTGGAGGAGGACCCCAGGTTCCTGGACTGGGTGACTGGGTGGTGTCACAGAGGAGTTTACACAGTGCCCATGAGACAGCCGAACAGGGACATTCCACAGGCATTCCCTGACATCAGCTTTCTCCCAGGCCAAAGACATCATAGAGGGCAAGTGTTGTGTAGCTGCTGGTCTTTCTTTTTCCCTTCAAAATTATAAACAATTCAATTGTTTATAATTGTTTATAACCTAATTGCTTAATTCTTTTCATTTTAAAGGAATATTGGTGGAAAGTAATAGTGATTTAAAAAAATATTGGTGCCATGTGTGGTGGCACACACCTGTAGCTACTTGGAAGTCTGAGGTGGGAGGATTGCTTGGGCCCAGGAGTTCGAGGCTGATAAGGTTTGTAGGGGGATGGGAGAGGAGGTTGTAGTAAAAGCATCACATGGGCCAGGCGCGGTGGCTCAAGCTTATAATCCCAGCACTTTGGGAGGCTGAGGAAAGAGGACTGTGCTGAGTCCACGGGTTCAAGACCAGCCTGGGCAACGTGGTGAGTTCTCGTCTTTACAATAAATCAAAAAGCAAATTTAGCCGGGCGTAACGCACACCTGTAGTTCCAACTACCTGGAAAGCTGAGGCAGAAGGATCGCCTGGGCCCAGCAGGTTGATAAAAGATGGTGGCGCACAGTGAGACTCAACACCTGTTAAGGCCAAGTGATTTAATGGGTCGAATGCGGTGGCTGCAGGACCTGAGGGTCAGGCTGTAGCGCCGAGGCAAGGGTGCGACAGCTTTTATAGGGGCTTAGGGCGACCTGTCTGTCGTCTATAGGTCGGCTGGCAGAGCTTCATGTAGGTTGGTGGATTTTTCACGGGCACGGAAAAGGGTGCAGAGGGAGAACAAAAGAAGGCACCGTTTCAATCGCCATTTTAGTTTGCCGGGTCGCCGTTTCCAGGAAAGGGAGGGGCTGTGGCTTTACTTGTGGCTTGGTGGTGGCTCTTCATTCCCACCTCTTTGGTTATAAGGGAGAGGGGCAGCGTTTGTCTGTCCAGCTACTTCCTGCTGAAAATGGGCGTCGGTGGGTGAGGTGGGTGAAAGGACAAGCCACATGAGACCCCACAAGTAGGTGCCAAAGAAAAAATTTCATTTGGGTGGAAGTCCTGGAAGGTGCCTTGTAAGTGGAAAATGGCAAGCTGGTCCGGCCAGTCGTCGAGTGGACATGGGAAAGGGAGGAGCCAGCTGTCACGAAGAAGGTGGTCAAGAAATGCTGAGAATCTGAGTGGTAGGTGGTGGGGGTAAACTTTAAGGCGAGCATGTCTGAAATGAGAAGACAAGGTTAGAGGTTTGTAGGG